TAACAAGCACCGACCCATTTCCACCTCTAGATAGATGTATGGTCCACTGTTGTCGGAGGGAAGAATTGCAATGCGGCCAATTTTTTCTCTTTCTCTATGTTTTGGAGGTAATAGGGTAGGGTAGGATAGGGTGGGGTGGGATGTTGTGATGTTGGGTAAGAAGAAAACAAGTGACTATATTGCGGTAGTGCGGTGGTGGTACAAGCGAGGACAAAGCAGGTGAAGAATTGGAGAGAATGTGTTGGGTGCAGACGATGGTATGGTAGTTTGTTGGAAGTGGTGGTGCATAGGAGGCAGTTGTGGTGGTTGTGGATCTAAAATGGCGAAGACAGTTTGGATGGTGCCGACAGTGGTGGGTTGGGTAGGATGGGGTGAGATGGGATAGGGTAGGATGGAATCGATGAAAGATAATTTTTGACTTGTTATTTGGGTAATTTTGACCAATTATTTAATAAATTATGATCACTTAATAAGTTGTAACTAATGAATTCGATAATTTGTGATCAATTAATAGTTATATATAAAAATTATGATTTGTGACTAAATTTGTAATTATGACCCACATTTTGTGTTCTATGTGGTTTATGACCAATACATAATTGTGACCACAAATTATATTTGTAGTAACCTTAATCTATTTAATTAATAAATAGGTCATAAAAAATTTATATGATTGTCATAAATGCGACCCCTAATTCTTGAATGAATTCTAGAAGTTTCTTAAATTTGAAAGCGTATTTTGAAAATATGGTAATTATATACTTTTCTCTTACTTTCTCTCAATCACCCCAATTGCCCATCCTGAATGTAGAGTGTATATGATTTGGTTCAGTTGTAATTTTTTTAACGACTATTAGTTATTATGAGGGATTTTCGTGCAATACGTATATAACAAGTGGAACGGAATCTGGATGGATAAAATGTTGTCTCAAATATGAGCAATTATTAGGAAGCATTTTAAAGTTTGATGAGTAAACTATGATCATAGTGTATGTTGGGTGAGCAATGAAATATTTTACTTGTATGGTTTGATTGGGTTGTAATTTTTTTCGACAATTGTAATTTGTCACAAGAGATTTCTGACATATACAAAATGAGTAGAACGGAATTTGAAGAACAATGAATGGAGTCTAAACATGCAAACGTGCAAAGTTCAACATTGTGAAGCACCTTTTAGCAAGTAAACCATGAGCATAATATAAGATCGGTGACTGATGAAACATTTAACTCGTCTATAGCTTTACTTTTTGCTTTGTCTTTTCGGTTTTGCAGTTGAAATTCCACACAACTCTTACTTGAATTTTTCTAGGGAAGAATTGAATTCAAGATTTTCATTACACTTTTAACAGAAGCTCGAAGTATAATTAATCACATTTGTTAACTTGGATTTTTGCACGGATGATGTGGTCAACAGATTCCAACTCTACTCACATTCACGTAGCTAAGTTCCTGCACATTTGGACAAAACTGTTAACAACACGTGGCCTTCTCTAATGGTGGGAGAGATAGCCACGTGCACTCCAATGGTCAAGTAATCAACTTGTATAGCGTATTTTGGGTTTGAGATGTGGTGAAGACGTGAGCTACAAAAGTGTTCAAGCATCAAGGGTTTATATAAAGTAAAAATGATAGAGCAATATTATTGTTGAGTATATAAAATTATATTACTTTCATATGACACTAAGTGTGAGTTTTTATATTAGAAGATGAGGAATGTCATCGTTGGATGAAAAGATACGTAGCATCATCTAGATGGTCAAGGAAACTTCTCTTAGGTCTCAATCATAGGCTGAATGGCATCTAATGTTTTTGAAAAGTTGCCATCCTAAAGCCTAGGTCAGACCTTTGGAAAGTAGACTAACAAGTTGACAGTTTAGACATTTGTTGCAGAGGTGATGTATCATTTCAGCTCCACCTCATCTCAGCCAGGTAAGACAATGATGTTGAGTGGGGGCTTAATTGAGCTTGCTAGCTGGCTATCACATGGCCGTGATCTAAAGCCTCATTTAGAAGAGGCATAAAATTTGTCCACCAAGTCCAAATATGGATATTTATATAATATGTGGACTTTTAGGTTAAGCAGGTCATAAGTTGTGGGGTGATCCATTGTCTAAGTGATGTTCTGGCGTCAAGTGCTTTACCTTTCTTTGGCGAGGTGATTGTTCGTTCAATTGTGTGATTGAGAACAATACAATAGTTTCCCAAGTTCGAGTATAAATATTTATATAGTGCATGGACTTAAGATGTTGAAGTGATATTCTGATACCTTGCATGGCAACTATGAAAGCATGTTATTCTAGCATAAAGGACGAGACTCTGAATAGGCAACTTGATGAAGCTATAACGTAGAGACGAGGTCCTGATAATTATCACAGTAGAGAACGACGGGATGTGGATGATTAACTCGCCTTAACCAAGTGAATTCTGAACATGTGGTTGACATAGCATGGTACTCTGCTTCCGCCGAAAAGCGGAGACAAAACTTTGTTTTTTGGATTTCTAAGAGATGAGAGAATCTCCTAAGAAGATGCAGTAACCATTGATAGAGCGCCTAGTAAGTTTCTTTTTCCATGGAAGGTATTACATCACGAGTGCAGGGTAAGATGCCCAATATGAATCATAGTACCCTTTGAGGCTAAGGGAAGATGATGAAGAACGAAGAATTCCTTGCCCAGGAGCACTTTTAAGGTATTTGAGAATTTTGTTTGCAGCAACAAGATGAATGGTGGAAGGATGAGCCATAAATTGACTAAGAGTTTGAACACTAAAACTAATGTCTGGTCTAGTTATGGTGAGATACAAGAGGTGACCAATAAGTCTTCGATAAACACTAGGATCAGATAAAGGAAAGCCAGAGACCTTGCTGAGTTTATGGTTTTGTTCCATAGGGATTTTGGTGGCTTTAGATCCTAGTGTACCCGAGTCTGCTAGAATGTCTAAGGTGTCTAAGGTCCTTGATTTTGAATTGTTGGTTTAAAAAATATTTGAGAACGCTAATGGAATCTAGCGAATTACTGGCCACAACAATGTCATCAACATATACTAGTAAGGATGTAAAATTTTCTCCATCAGGCCAAGTAAATAAACTATAATCTGACTTGGATTGAATGAAACCACTGGAAATAAGGAAGGTGGAAAATTTAGAATACCATTGCCTAGAAGTCTGATTAAGGCCATAGAGACTGTGAAACAATTTGCAAACTTGACCAGGTTTGCCTTTGTTGTATCCAGGAGGCCATTTCATGTAAGTTTCCTCATTAAGCTCTCCATGAAGGAAAGCAGTGCTGACGTCAAACTGTTGGAAGTGCCATCCCCTAATGGCAGCTAAAGCTAGAAGGGTTCTAACAGTGACCATTTTAGCAATTGGAGAGAGTTTCATGGTAATCCTCTCCTTTTTGTTGAGTAAATCCCTTAGGTACCAAGCGGGCCTTCTTCCTTTCTACTATGCCATCAGATTAATACTTAGTTTTTTAACACATTTACAATCAATAGCGTCCTTTCGAGGTCAGAAACAAGCCAGGTATTATTGACCTCTAAAGCATCAAGTTCAGCTTTCATTGCCTTGCACCAGTCCGGGTCTTTAATAACTTGATTGTATGTTTGTGGATCCTTGTGTGAGAAAATAGAAGCGAAAGCCGAGTAAGTTGGTGACAGGCGAAGATAAGAAAGTGATTGTGTTGAAGAAAATGACATATCTGATTGTGCAAAAACCTTGGACACAAATTGAGTAGGTGAGTTGAGGGAAGCTTGTTGACAGTGGAAATCTTGAAGGTATTGAGGAGCTCTTCGTCTTCAAATCCCGGACGATCTTCTGAGTGTTGGTTCAATAGGAGGCTCAGGTGAGGAACTAGTGGGAGATCCATTAGGAGTGGCAGACTCTGAATGTGTAAGAGAAGAAGGAGAATTAGGAGATGAAGGAAGGGAATTAGATGTAGTTATTGGATCAATAAAAGGATTTTGAGGAAGAGAGGGAATATCGGGTGAGGGACCTATGGTCTGAGAGATATCAAAAGAAGGGATGAGAGGAGCTGGATTGGTTGTGGTATTCATTTGAAATGGGAAATGTGTTTCATGGAAAATTACATCATGAGATATAAAGATTGATTGTGTGTCAAAATCTAAGAGTCGTAACCGTTCACACCAAAAGGATATCCAAGAAAAACACATTTTCTTCCTCGAGGGTCAAGTTTCTTTCAATCTCTAGATAAAGTGGAGGCAAAACAAAAGCAACCAAAAATTTTCGTGTGAGAGTATGATGGTTTCTTATTGAATAAAAACTCAAAATGAGTTTTGTTTGATAGTAAAGGTGATGGAATGCGGTTAATTATATATACTGCGGTTAAAACTTGGCTTGAATTTTAAGAACTCGAGCTATGTTCAAGAGGTGCTAGTGCTTTCTCTCAACAATTCCATTTTGTCGGGTATCTCAATACAACTTCTATAATGGATAATGCCTTTTTTAATTGAAGAAATCTTTAATTTGAAATTCTAGGTCATTATCGCTTTGGAGGATCTTAATCTTAGCACCAAATAGTGTTTCTGCTAGGTTATAGAATGCTTCTAAACAAGTTCTAGTGTCAGATTTTGCCTTAAGAAGACAGAGCAAGTGCATTTAGAAAAATCGTCCACAATTGTTAAAAAATACTTGGTTCCATCATAAGCTTCTGTAGAACTTGGTCCCCAAATGTCACAATGTTCAAAAATTTGCTTAGTTTTATGAGTACTGACAGGAAATGGAAGTATGTGTTGCTTTGCAAGTGGACATATACGAACATAGCTAATGCGAGATAAGTGATTCTTAACAATGGGATCAGAAATTAAATTCAACTTTGAGAAAGGTGTATGGCCAAGTCTTAAGTGCCATAGTTCGGGAACATAGGGATTACTAAAAGTAGAAACAAACATGTTCGTATGTAAAGAAAAACGATAGACCAAGGCTGTTGGAGACACTTCAGTAACCAGCAAGTGATGCAAGCCATTTCTCATTTCACCTATGCCAATCAGGTCCAAGATGAAGGTCCTGGATAAGCACGAATGTGAGAAAAAGATGAAGCAACATGTAGAGAGTTAGCTAACTGTTCAGCAGAAATCAGGTTGAAGTTAATGAGAGTACGCATAGGACATTCTTCAAGATGAGATTGTTTGTGATCTTAGCTGTGCCTATATAACTGACAGGTGCCTTGTTTCCATTAGGTAGATTGACTGTGCATGAAACTTGAGATGTAATGGATGTAAAGAATGAGGTGCCGTGTTTCTCTTCTTCTTGTTTCATAGAAAAGATCTTATTCACGGGAGGTAATGGGTCTAGTATCATAATTTGGTCTCGGATGTTACTGTAGGATTCATTGAGACCCATTGAAAATTGAATTACACAATCTCGTTGGTACCTATCCAGTATAATTTTAAGCTTACCACAGCTACAGTCTGGAAGTGGATAGTGACTTTAACTTGCCATAGTAGATACTTATAGGATCTTGGTCTTGCTGTAATGCTGCTAAAGCTTTCTGTAATTGGAAGATACGAGGCCCATTCTGCTGGGTGAATCGATCCTTCAACTCAGCCCAGATTTCTAAAGCATCTTCCACCAGAGCTGTGCTTGATTTCAAGGTCTGGCTGGTTGAATTTCGTAGCCAAGAGACTACCAGATCATTGCATCGTTCCCACGCATCAAAGAGTAGGTCATCAATGTCCTTGGGCTTAACCAATGTACCATTGACAAAACCGAGCTTATTTTTAGCTCGAAGTGCTCGACACATGGACCTGGACCAGGTGGTATATTTATCATTTCAGTTGGAGAGAAAAGATACTGTATTCTCATTTCAGTTGAATTGATATGTTTTACAGGAAGCTGTGCATATATAGAAAAAGAATGCCGTACATAATGGAATAAAGAATATACAAGTGGCAAAACAAAAAAATAATTGATTCTAGAATCTTCAGCAAGAATAACCAACTGAGCAATTACAAAAATGTCTATGAGGGGCTTTCCAGGGAATTCATCACAGCTGTGTTCGAACAGTTAGATTTGTCAATTTGAAGCTCCAAATGCTGATCATCATGTTCCAATACTTATCATGTTAATAAAAGTATAGCGAGTACTCATTTGTACAATTGTTTGACAGACAAAAGATTGTAGAAGTCAATGTAAAGTATAACAATTAATAATTTATCAAGATGTTGTATTCCATACTCATTTTCGAGTTAAGCATATATTCCCTAGAGTAAAAGAATTGTGCAAGTGCTCCTCATGCAGTCTATCCCCTCAACCACCGGTCCATGGCTGGCATAATGCTTCGGGGTTAAAAATACTGTTAGCTACTCAACTTATAACTTCGCTTCTTCCCCCTTTTTTTCCCCAAATAGTCACTAGACAATGATAAATATTACACTTAAAATCACGTGTCTAATTCAGTTTCGACCATTACGATAATATTTTTAAGGCAAATTATAGGACACAAATTGGGGAAGAAACTATGTGCAAGTATCACGTCAGTACACGTCACTGAACAATTGAGTAGAGAAGCTAAGTAATGGAGCTAAAATTATTCTTGGCACTCGGGATAAAATGACAAGATCCACACTTTACCTCCCGAAGAAGAGCACTACATCAGGGTAGACGAGAGAATTGGGCGTTAAAATTGAATTCCTTTTTAACCCAAAGGATCATTTTCAGAGCATTACATAACCACCCCCAACAGCATCGCAAACAACTGCACCCATTCCAATAAGACATTTATCAACACGCACAGTCCATCCACATTAAGTTTAAACAAACCAGTAGCAGGACGACTACATTTAGTCTGCCACCCTCCTTAAGGGACTTGTAAGCTCAGCCAAACATGCTAATCAGGCATGCCACCTCATAATCAATTTCCAACTTCCACATCTATCAGAGAATATCGTTCAAAATTGAAAGGTAGAATCACATAAAACTTTCTTCTACAACAGTAAATTTAGTCAACAACCCATCCAATTCTTGCATTACAGCCTGATAATGTTCTTTAGACTGTGCCCCTTCTTCAACAACTTGAATGCCATGTCTACACAAAAGATTATACCATTGAACAGGAACATCCACATCAGAATCACTGAGTCCATTATCTATGTGGAAACTGCGCTTATAGTCTTTACTCCACCGTCGCAGAATGTATTCTGAAGGGATTTCTTCTACACCATTATAATTCAAGACATTCAAGGCATGCCGGCATAAATAACCTTTCAAATTGAACAAACTACAAATGCAACGTATTTCCATTTGAGTTGTCTCATACAGAACCTCATAATGCCTAACCTCCTTCTCATTTCCCTCAACCTCGATCCTTTCTTTGACGACAAATGTCAGTATTGGTCCATTAGCATTCACTTGCCTTGTGTTAAAGCAAGAATACATCCCCTCAACTTCAATTTGGAATTTATTAAATATTTCCTTTGTATAAACCTTGGAGAGCTGCAATTCAAAATTGCATTTTGTTTTTAACTCAAAGCATGAGTTTCTGGACTCAAAATCCCCCATTGCTTCTTTCAAATGCTTCCTTTGAAGAGCTAGATCATACTTATCAAGAAATTCCTTGAAAGATGTGTGCTTATGTACAAAACCATCAAAAAAGGCACTCAACCCCTCACGCTCGTTCATTGGGAGCATTCCCACAAAAGAAGTGTCTTTGAGGTAAACCGGCACCCACCTTTCTCGGTCTTCATATAGTGATTGAAGCCATTTATTATCCATGAGGCCATGTTGACTAATCATGTCAACCCAGGAAGTTTCAAACTCAGCTATCCTCAAGGAATCATAAACTGCTTTATTCAGTTGCCTTTTTATTGTTTCATATCCTTTTAATCCACCCAACTTCTCAGGAACACGATGCATAATATAGGAGGAACAATAGCAATGACAAGCTTGGGGGAAAACTTCAGAAACCGCTACACGTAAGGGTTTGGACTGCTCAGTAATAATAACTCGTGGATACAGCCCCAACATACATGTAAGCCATGCCTTAAGCATCCAACTAAAATACTCCACCGACTCCTGTCCAAGGAAGCCACATCCCAACAAGACGGATTGTCCGTGCTGGTTTACACCCACAAACGAAAGCAGAGGTACTTCGTACTTGTTTGACAAGCTCGTTGTGTCGATTGCAACAGTGTCAGAGAAGTAAGTATACGCAATCCTTGACCTAGCATCCGCCCAGAACACATTTCTCAAGTGCCCCGCATCATCAAGATCCATCAAATAAAAGAAGTTAGTATTTGTCAGCTTCATACGACAAAAGTAGTTATAGACTGCATGTGCATCCCCTTCTTTGAGTTCTAGATGCTTAGAGTGATCAACAGGTGTTTGACCATCTCTACCATCTGTCTTGATGTGTCCACTACATGAAGCATCTATAACAGCTGTCTGGTATAACTTAATAGTCTGTATTTCTTTGACAGGTTCAGACTGCTGTGCTTTCTTGGAAGCGAGAAACATCTTTTTGTGCGACTTATAAAAACGTTTGATCTCTGGGTTCACTGGATGGTTGTGTTCGAGCTCAACTTCTACTATTCTCCACCTTTTAGCATCCACAAGCTTTATGATTGTCATTGCAGGACACCCTGTTCTTGTTTCTGGCCTCGGATTGTTTGCTTCACTTTTTTTCTTGAAACCTGCACTGCTGCAGCTGAGTTTTGCTCTATACCTCTCCCTTCTTTTTGATCGGAACCATGAGTTGCTAACTCTGATGCCAAATCCTTGATCCTTGGCATAGACATTGTAGAAGTCATAAGCTTCCTCAAAAGACTCGAACTCCAAACCGATCGTGGGAGGCAAAGGTTCTTTTTTAAACTGTGATTTGTGAACTTCGTTGTCATATTCAGGTGTGGCACAGTCTCCATCTTCGAAATCTTCACCCTCCCCAAAAATTGGCTCACTGTTGAGAGACACCGCTTCCATCTAAGACAAAATTAGACGGGAAAAATCATGAAAAGTAGAAAACTGGAAAAGAGAAGCAAACCTACTAGTGTAAGAAACAAATACATAAAAGATTATATAAAAATTGAATGAACTCCTCATTTTCACTTTTCGTTACATGTGATACAAGAGCATGGCTAAGGCAGAGCCAAGATTTTGGAGTTGTGGGGGCAAATGAAGTGCAAGATATAAAAATGTTATCGATGCTACCAATATTAATATATCATATCACACAGCATTGTGTAATTTTTACATAAATTCCAACAAGAGTTTAAAAAAAAAAAGATTTTTATCAACAAAAGTATAATTACTGCACTAATAATTAGGCTCACTTACATTTAGGCCTTCATAGATGCTTACTTGCTTGAGTAATTGAGTTTTGTTCCGGTCTCAGTTTCTTTTTTAAGAAATTTTCTCCATATCTAACCAAATAACAAATCATTAGAGTTCAAGGAATAAAAAGCTAATACAAACCAAAAGTTAAAAGTAGGAAACATTTTCTAATTATATGACAAAATAGACCAAACTTTTCTAATCAATTAATGGCATACTCAGCTGAAAACTTCTTAGAAAACCGTAAAAACAGGATCTACTATTGAGAAACACAAAGGGGGTGATTCCGGCCTCTGGATTCTTCATTATCAGAATACTAAATGAAGGGTAGAAAATGACTAAAAAAATCAAAACAATCAAAATATTCAAGAAACCAAAAGGAAAAGACAAATAAACAAAACCCATAATGATTTTCACACACACACAATTATTAGTTCTCAGTTTTCGCAATTTAGTTGAAGACAGTGCAACCAAATTATGACTGTTACACACATAATTATCAAAATTAAAACATAAACTCTGAAGATATCAAAATGACGAGCAAAAGAACAAAAGAAGATAGATGAACTGAATTTTAGCAGCCTCAAGAAAAACCCACGTTATCTGCTCGTCGGTTGGTAGCCTAAAAACTCCAGATTTCAGATTGTTTTGCTGTGAAAACGAGAAAGGGAGAGACAAAGGGTGAGTAATTGACTAATTGCTGAGGAAATGTGTGTGAGAGAGAGTGACGTATTAGAATTCGGAGGTTTTTGTCCCTATTTAACCCCTAAATTTGAGAATTTGACATTTTAAGTAGAATTTATTAGAACCCTAGCTACTACTACCAAAACAATTTATTATGTCCTTGTTTGAGCATCATTATCCAACAAAAAAAAAAGTATTTTAAATAGTAGATTAATAGAGTCTACTTGGTTTAAAAAATAAGAAAAAATTTTGAATTTACGTATAATATTATTTTATTGAAGAATGTGTGATTGAAAAAAAGAGAGAAATATGTATTTTAAAAATAATGGGATCAAACAAGTGCATCTTTTCCCAAGTCTCTCTACGTAACGTCGATTGAGCTTACAACTCTCAACTAACCTCCATCTTACCATACCAACCGATCTTGATAACAACTCACCGAAAAACCTTTCGGAAAGCTTAAACAGACTGATAAAGGTATATGATTTTTACTCGAGAGAGGACGACAAGAATTCCTTTTCCAACTTCTTCTTCAATTGGAGTATCTGAATACAAGCTTTGTTCAACTGTGTCGGATGAGCTTCTCCCATTTATGTATGATAATAGAATAAGACGGTTTGCTCTGATCAAGATTCACTTTTTGCTCTGTCTATGGAGCGTATGAATTTCCTGGTTATAAGTCTCGATTTGGCTACTTCTCTTATTCCATTACTGATTGCTTCTAGCAGTGAATAATACTTAAATCATTAAATATTTTGGGTCTTTCATTTTTATTTTTATTTTTATTTTTAATTTTGGCAGTTCCATAGGGAGCATCTCGTTTAAGTACCCAATTTATATCACGTCCCAAGATTTCTTCATCTGCTAAGAGATACAGTACACAAATTTTTAATAAATAATTTGTTTTTTTATTAAACTTTGTGGGCATGTTTGACTTCCATTTTCTACATAGAATATATTTTGAAATAGTAGATTGATAAAAATATGCGGTGATAAGTGCATTTTTGTGCACTTATTCGGGGCCATATTACCAATCTTATTGCATTTTACTTAACTTAGGTTATTTTTATCTTATTTCAGTTTTGGACATGTTTCTAAGCAATTGAAAAAGAAAGAAGGATAAATCGGCTAATTGATGGAACTTCTGGGACTAATTTGCATTTGAATAAAAGTCGAAACACTAAAATTGAAGTAATTTGATGTAGAGGATCAAGATGGAAGAAAGAATGAAGAAAATAGTTCAAAAGAAAATTTGCGAAAGTTCTATAACTGGGTAGCCGTCCAATTATATTGGTCGGGCGACTGCTAGGCCATCAACATCATCAACAAAAGCCATTTTTTAAGCTTGAGAGAAGAAAAGAGGCAAAATACAAGAAAAGCAACACCATGAAACGAAGATTAAACTCAAGAATTGAATTGGTGATCGTTCTTTATTTATTTTTCTAATTTTCTTCTTTCCACCATGTTAGACTAGATTAATTCTGTATTATGAGAACAATGAATTATGTAAAATGATTTTTATTTCTTATTTTTACATTCTTGACAATAAAAACATGTTTGTGATATTTGAATGGTTTATATGAATTTATTTTCTCCACGATTATTGTGCATGTTAATTGTGTGAGTGTGGTGACCTATTTCATTCATTCAAAAGAAGGGAAATGGGTTCGACATATATTGTCATAGGGTCTGATAGGGGGTAGAAATATATCGCAATGCCTTGTGTGAATCTTTAAGTGTTCATAAAAACTCATGCATTCTTGTATATTCACATCTGTCATAGAGATATAGTCGAGTCACATATTAGAATAGATTTGAATTTACTCGAGAGAGACTGTTAAATAATTTAGGAACATTGATTCTTCAATATTTCAATCGTGTGTCAAAGTGTAGAATTGAGTTTAAAAATATTATTACATAGGGATTCGTGATTCTAGCACATTCATCATATATTAGAAAAAAAAAAACTTTAACTTGCATTCGACATAAATCTCATTTAGTTTAGTTAAAGCATTCATAATTGCATCGGCATAATTAATTTAGTTATAAATTCATCAAAACAAATATTCTCATTCTTATTGTTTCGGTTAAGGTCGCGATAATTAGAATTAGAACTATTCAATCTTGTGGGACGATACTCGGACTCAAAAAGTCCACTTTATTACCTGTTAACAAATCGTACACTTACAATGTGTTTTATTCGAAATATATTTTCGTGAACATGCAGTTAAAAAATAAGGAAAATTTTTGAATTTACGTTTACTATTATTTTATTGAAAATGTGTAGTTGAAAAGAAGAGAAAAAATGTATTTTGAAAAATTGGGAATCACACAAGTATATAATTTTCAAATGAAGGAATTTAACAAGGAAAAATGTTGGAATGTAATGCGTATAAATATATTATTTTTTAAAAATACATTTAAATTGTGATAGATTTAGAGTGAAATAGATAGTAAAGATAATGTTGGAACGTAACGTGAATGAATATATATTTTTTAAAAATTTTAATACGATGAATTTAGAGTGGAATAGATACATGAAAATGGTGAATGAAGTTAACTGCTCCCCAATTTCATTAATAATATGCCTTTCTATAATTATAAAAATATGAATCGACACCCTTTTCCGACTTTCTTGAATCATGAATTGAAGAACAGATCAATTATCACATGGAGGTGCTCTCTCAAAACAAGCTCTGGTTAAATCAAAGTTCTAAGGTGAACACGAAGAAAAGGGACAGTGAGACCTACAAAATTTATAAGAGAAGCTATACAAAGTCTTGAAACACTCAAACACAAAACATTCTAAGTTAATACATTCCCAAAATCGAAGTAGACGCGTTAGAGTTTCATCGTGTTCCCACTTGAAACTATTTATCAGCAATGATCACAAGCCAGGACGGCGATCGACCAATGTAAATAACTGAACATCAAACCCATCTGTACTAATATTCACCAAGGTTTACATAATTTATACTTCAGCACTGAAAAAAAAAAACGAATAGAAATGTTGATGATCAATCAATACGAGTTGTGTCATTGAACTAAACTACGAAAAATACTGAAAACACAACACAATCATCTTTGATGCACAGCGAGAACTATGTAAAGGAAGCAGGCAACCATGGGTTGCATGTCAGAATCTAGTGAACATTTCTCCACTCAACTTTCTTCCTTCTTTGCCTCTCCACCAGATACAGTTCGTGGTAATGGGTGCCAAAATTATATCTGAAATTTGAGTAGAAGCAATTTTAACTCAGAGAAAATAGGGTACTCCAGTCCTGGGTCCTCGCATCTGGTTGTTTTCCTCAGTCTCTGTGAAGAACTTCACCTCTCTCTCCTATTCAACCGGGGTCAATAAAAAACGATCAAGTTAGAAATCAAGGCCAGTACTATTATCTTCATTCACTTGTTTCTTCATATTAATTGCTACTAATTATGGCAGTATGTCATATAGTACACAATATACACTATGGGCGCTCAACATTTTTGCTAAACAAATTAAGCGAAGCCCATGCAATAAAAAAGTAAAATTCTGTAATATGCTTGCCAAGCTCATATAGATCATAATTACCGGGTATGTGGGCATGCTGCATTTGACAAAAATTCAAGTCGTTTAATGACTTTAAATTCCAAAAGATAGTAAGACTTTCAAATTTGTGAGTATGACTTTAACACATAGACGAGGTTTGTATCTTTAAGTTGATAGGACTTTGGATGAGATAGATGAAATATAACCCTGTACCAAATACACTGCCCTTTGATTCTAGATTATGACCAAGTTATATCATTGTCAATTATGATAAAAATAGTTTCCTCTATCAACCACAAGAACAGAAAACAGTAAGAAGCAAGAACACCATTGCTTATTGTGAAAGACAAATATTAAACTATGACGTGCAGGCATGCTCCTCACTCATCGCAGGAACTGGGAAGGTTTTCCTACCGCAGAACCTAATAAAGATAAAATCCCCTCAATGTCACACAAGAATCATAATCACAATTGTGCAGTTTATGGTTTCTTTACGTTACTGACTAGAAAGCGCACGTGCACATGGAGAGACTCAAGAAATTAACACATGGAAAATTGAGCAGTTGTACCATATTCTCGTTGAAGCTTAATATCGAGGCAACATTTCCGCAACGGTAACAATAATTTGGAGCAGACCACACCTGCATATGCCAATGAGCAATGAGATAATCAAAGAATACACGGAAAAAATTGCACCGTGAAATACCATGTTGTAGCTCATATAGAAATGGCAACTCACAGTTACAAGTCCTTTATCTTGAAACATGTACTTCAGACCTTCTTGTACAAGTTGGTGGGCTCGGCAAACTAGATCGAGTTTGTTAATGTGATTGAACTGCAAAAAACAACTACAAGTTTTAGCATTACCTATTATATGTTTGAACTTCACAACAATCTTCAGAATTTTTGAGATGTCATAAATCATTATCAGGATTCTCTTGGAGATACTTTTAGCTAGAGTGGGCAGTTCACCCAGAAGCCAATGATTGTCTGCTGCACCATTGGCTACCAAGCTTTCTCATATATATCATGGACTTACCTCAGAAGTAACCCTGGACCCAAAAAGCCAGCCTGCTCCTCTAGGGCTCACAGCCCATGTCTCAATATCTTCAGGATCACTCCACATTAGGTCACAGAAAGGCCCTTCATGGGGGATTTCACAGTTCCGTTCAATGACTCGAATCTGCCAAGGAAACATGGACAAGAAATGAATATAATTTAATCTAATATGAACTGTACTCAATGAATATAATTTAATCTGATAGAACTGGACTCTGTAAACAAAAAGGCAGTCTAAACCAAGCACAATAGATAAACATTGGTCACGTTTAAACATTAAAAGTTCATCAATATTAGTAAGAAAATTAAAAATATGCTGTTCCTGAAACAAACCAATTCCTCCATTGTAATTATATGCATAAATTTCCAAATATGGCATGTATGCTACATGCTCAATTCTTCATCCTTTTAGGAAAAGCATGTTTTGGTTGAGCATAGATGAGCAATTAGCGCTTATCTCACTGAACTTAAATTCATTTTTTTATCAACTTTTCTCATGGTTGTGCAAGATAAACAATTCATAAAATGACAATAATAAAACCTGATCAATAGTTCTAACGTCTGGGGATAGCCCACCGTGCACACAAAGTACCTGATAATCCACAGAGGCAATACATTAATAATGCAAGTATAGAAAATGGGAAATAATAACAAGATTAAAACTACTGAAAGTGGCTCTTTCATTTCAGCTAAGTTCTTTTTCTTTCTCTGCACTAATACTCTAAAGAATCCCTAGAGATATGGATTGATATCTAGAATTGGTTTAGACATTTAGAGAGGTAAGAATTTTTTTTACAGCTATCCTCTCTAAATGATAGGTTGAGCCTCTGTTTGGTTTAAATAAAAATCAGATTTTTAGTACATAAAAGTTGATCGAATGTGCAGTTGAAAGTCCCATAAAATGAGTGGTTAAAATTAATTGCTAACCATGACTTAGATTATAATCGAACTTTTAGTTGAACCAAATAGGGGCTAAGAGAGTAATAAAGATGGCATACCGTTCCATCTATAATTGCTGACAGAGTTAGATAGTCAAAAACATCTGTACAATACCGCCAGGCATTTGCATTCCCATACTTCCTTTGACATTCATCATAAAATCCATACACCTACCGAGGATGATTACATGAAAAAGGTCATCAACATTTAGCAGTAATGGAAAATGCTATTCTTGTACATTGCATGCTTGTTACCAAGGGCATAAAATCATCAAACCACAATATGCAGCAAAATAATTTTTGTCCAAAGGGAACTTAAGGCTAGATAGTAATAATCAAGCCATGACCAAAAATAGAGGACATTCTCTTCATCACCAATTGCCCCTCGAAACCCTGGTTGATATGCTGCAGTTAATCAAGAGCGTTCATTATTTAGAATTAACAAATGCCAATTAATTTCTTTAATGAGAAACGATCGTTCTTCGTTCATTTATTATTCAAGTACAAGAGGACATGGTATAGTCTGACAACAAAGGGGAAAGAGGAAATCGAGAATATAATTAAGGAGAAAAGAAAATCCTCAGACTCCTCATCCCTAGAAACTTGACAAGATGATAAAAGTTTTTCCCTTGCTCATAAGACAGCTACTACTTGCTCCTTCCTTCAAAAAATCTGCATTTTTCTTAATTTTTTTTCCAAATGATTCAAAAAATAGCTGAAACATTTACCCTCATGTGCACTTGCAGTTCCACTTTGAGCTTATTTACTGATTCCATTTAACTATATTGGCTTCGAAAGCACAGTGAATGAAGTTACAACGTTGATTACCTGAGTCAATTGCCTGCTTTCATGATTTCCACGTAGGAGAGTGATGTTAGCTGGGTATCTGCAGCAAAAAACAAATAAAATATACATTAGCCAAAGGAAAATATATCAACTATAAAGAACCTCAAATAGTATATTAGAGCAAATATCTGATTTTTTGCTATTTAGCTAACGAATTGAATGTTCAACATACAAAGCTTGCAAAAATAATACTAATGACACATGTTATCCATAATATGTATTGCAATTGCAATTGCAATAATAATAGTTCATCAAAGTAAAGCTGAAAAATTTCTGCACCAATACCTAGTGAATTTAAGTTTTATGGAGACAAAAATACAGAGAAGGAAATGATTGAGCTTAGATATGTATTCCTATCTGGATCATATGAACTAGACCAGCAAGAACATTCATTCAGATTGACAAATACCTGTCATTTTTATTATATAAATGCAATTAGACCTCAACATCCCAGCTCTGTATTAAGAACCAAATTCTTGTCAACATATGTTTTTGTCAAATTCTTTATGGCAATCGCATCAAGACATAGATGCAATGATTTTCATTCTAAACATTTCTTCAACACGATCACGAATTTAATTAGACAACCAGATGGCTGAGACTGTTTTCTGAAGCAATCTAATGAAATAATCAAAGTACAAAAAAATATGCACCTTGCTTTGAGAAGCAAAAGAATGGTGAAAACTTCTAGGCTATTGTAACCACGGTCAACAAAATCTCCCTGCCAAGATAGAAGAAGTTTCATTGTGGAACTAAAAGAGTCCAAAATATGGAACAAGGATAAAGAGGAAAGTTAAAACAGACAAATATCAACATATTTATACAAGATTTACCATAAATATGTAATTTGTCTCCGGTACATGACCTCCAGTCTGGAAGAGTTTCATCAAATCATGAAACTGTCCATGGATGTCCCCACATACTGTAACTGGACTATTCACAGGCTGAACATTTGACTCCTCAATCAATATCTCCTTTACCTGAATAAGCAAGAGGCAAATTAAAATTAGAGGAGCATAAGGATAACATAGCACCTGCAAGCAAACAAAAAAGATAATACTGCCAGAATGTGGAGCAGCTTCTAGAATTATAAGTAGAGTATTATAATACAGAATGACATAAGTAGATCATGAAGTAGACAAGCACGCAAAGAAGTCCCTTCTCATCTTCATTGCAAGCAAAGAGATGACCAATTGTTGAAATTTGTTGATTACTTCTTTCCTCGAAACACCCCACAAAACAAGAATAACACCAAATTCCAACAGACAAATTTTTTTTGAGGTGGAATGAAATTAATCTAGACCAAAACTGGATGCCAAGAATCTGGTTTCAAACACTAGTTGGCAGAGATTTGTTTCTTAGCAATCTACACCGGAGAGTTTATCCTAAAGAAATAATTGTTTGAAAGCATATACCAGTTTGTTTATTCTGCAGTTTCTGTATTCTGGAAACCCCACTGCAATTAATATTTATTTTGTCCTCAGCCACTATAATTCGGACCAGTAATAAAGAATGTGCTTTTTTGATACCATTAGTTACATAATCAAACTAATGATTGAGTATGAAATTTCAATAATAAGTAGAAATAAACATAATACAAAGTGTCTGTAATTACATATGATCCTTAAAGAGCTAACAGAAGTGCAGCTTTACAAATCCTTCCAAAAAAAAATTCAAACTTAGAACTCTCTCGTAAAACCCACGAAACTAAGAAAGTGACTGGAATACATACAATCTAACTGCCAAAAAATAAATTCAACGCCATCAATTCTTGAATGCATTTAAACACAGAGAGTAAGAAACAGAAAAAATGCAAAAACGAAGCAAACAAGAATAAGAAGAATTCATACGTATTCGCAGAGGAGCTGAAGCTCATCTTCAGACAAGTGTTGACCTTCTTTCACCTTCACTATCCACTGGTCCAAATCCATTTCCCTTAATTCTTCTTCTTATATTCTTCAACAATTGAATGGATATACCTCTATTTCTCTATCAATTACTAGCGTGTAGATATATAATTACAGATCGAAAAGAGAGGGATTCGATCGGAGATGCAAGTCGGAGAAATGAAAAAATAACAATCTTGAGAAGATTCACACAAATTTCGAAACCCTCCTCCTCCCCGATTTCTTTCCCTTTTCTTTTTTATATAAAAATAATACAAATTATTTATTTGGAGTTTAGATCTTTTCTCTCTCCAGAAATGGCACAAGTTGCCGGAATAGACTCCTTTGCCCATTTGATTTTCATTTTTTCTTTTATGATGCAAAATAAAAAAATTAATTAAAGTTCATATTTCAAATTTTTAGTAATTTATTATCATAATTTTTCAATATAAAATTACATATTATGTAGAAGAAATTTTCAAATAGAAGACTTTTCTTTTTAACGAGATAATATTAGGGGCAAATAAATTTTTTATGCCCTCCTAACGGACTTTTCAAATAGAAACGTATGCGCTAATAAATAGAACGTGAAAGAGAGGAATGTAACAATGAAAAATAAAATCGTAACACAAGTACAAAAATGAGCAAAAGTTGAAAATCTTATTTCAATTAAAAAGTGGTGGAATAAATAAAAAAAATTTGGTACCAATATGGACCCATTGAACAATTCTTTTCAAAAAGACTCAAGAATGTTAATTTTACCCAAGTAAAGCCAATTCTTTCCCAAAACATTTTTTATACCTCAAAACATCATATTTTCTTAACAAGTGAGAAGACACCAAAACATCTTTACATTGCTCCTTGGCATATCCCATTTGTAAAAAAAGAGTTCGCTGAGAAGAGGTGATATGTTGAGGTGTCAAAAATGTAAAGCAAGAACAGCCAAGAGGACAACAACTTTCAACTCGGTTTTATAGGTAGACTGCAGCCTCGTATAACTTAATAACTATGCACATCCCAATGCTGAGCTAAGAACACAGTTCGAACCCATATAAGACTAATTTTTACCATTGCACGATAGTCGATAGATAATCACTGTATCCATTAAATAACAATGGCGCCATTTTAAATTTTGTTTTATTGCATTACAAGTTCAAATCATCATTCTATCTCTATCTGCTGTGGCACATCTTCTTCTTGAACATCTCTGCTGCCACTAATTTCATCTTCAGTGATAGCAGAGGCATTAACTGTTCTTGCAACCCATTCCTTCAGAGGGTCTTCATTCAAGTCAAGCCTTAGAAAACCTGCAAACATCCCTCCCAGGAAGGCGACTGGCTCCTGATAAATAAGAAAATTAACTCATTAGAAATCTGGTGGAAATGGGTATTACTTATGCTGCACAAAAGACGGCCATAAGAAAATAAGTCACTGGATAAAAAGAAAAAATGGAAAAACAATAAATGAAAGTAATGATTGAGTACTCTTCTTGATGGAATAAGTAATGACAATTAAAATACAGAAGACTTGAGTTAAAAGGAAGTAGTTGAGTTAACAGGAAGTAGCCAATACTCCTTTCTTTTACTGCTAAATAACTCTCAGAAGTTTCTGGACCTTCCCAATCGCTATAGGAATGACAACAATTTGAATAAGGCACACGAATACTAAGACAAAGGACTCCTGATATATTGCTTAAAGTGAATAGCTTCAACACCTTCTTTCCCTATGCACAAACATCTCATGACCTCGAATTTTGATGTCTAAATTGAAATCATAACAAGAAGATATTGTTGCAGTTCAATAAAAGCTATTAGATTTCAGCATAAGAGTCAACAAAATAGACGGAAAGATATGTTTAAAAACAACAGTTTAAATGCTTCCTTTGGAGAGATGGAAAGGAGAAGCGAAAAAATAAAAACAAATCAGTTTGTGGGTACAAGTCAATAATCTTTGCAACTAGTTATTTATAAAAAAGAGCTTCAGCAAACAAGCACAGTATACAAACACGCATGTTCTCATATAACATTCAGAGCCATTCTTGAATTGGTTAATTCCATGATAACATAGAGTTGAAGGCTAGTTCAGATCTAGACACAGCAAACAAAAATCTGTGGTCTCAATGGGAATAAAACGTTATGGATATTTCTGTGTTACATGTCAAAATTTAAACAACCTGAATGTTCCAAACCCGGTTTAGCATAGAATTAACCTTGTAAATGGACATTCCCAAAATCTAAGAGTGTGTTTGAGCCACATTATTTTGGAAGAATGTATTTTGGAATAGTAGATTGATGGAGAATGTGTGGTTAAAAAATAAGGAAAAGTTATTGATGTGATAGAAAATACTATTTTATTGAAGAATGTGTGATTGAAAATGAGTAGAATAATGAAAATGAAAATTTTAATGTGGCTCAAATAAGGGCTAAGAATAAATATTTTAGTTATGATTTTGCTCAGTGCAAGTTTACAAAAGCAATGTTTTTAATTCACTTTTGTGCAGTTTTAACACCATAGCACCAATTTCACTAGGGGTCTTCTTCTCTTTGTGGGCAATGCAATGATCCAAGGCAGTTGGATCATGTCATGCTACAATGCCGAACAAACCATAGCAAGATGAGCCTTGAGCAAATCAAAGGCATTTAGAATTCAGCAAGGAGGTTGAACTTCAACATACACACCCCAGTAGTCTCTACAAGTCCTTTAGCAACAAATAAGAAATTGATCTACAGTTAGGAGTTTTCCCAAGTTTCATCCTAAAACAATGTACACAAGTAGGAGGCAGGAAACCATATAAACAACAAAATGTACTGTCGTCGAGGAGAAATGACTAGTCTATATATCATACAAAGATGTACAACATGGTAGCAGTGTGTCATCTACAAGAGTTGCTATCCTCATATTTCGGATAATTGAAATTGTTTTCTTATTAACCCTGCAAAGTGCTCTTTAAAGTGTCCAAAACATCCTAAACCACTATCAATTTAATTATACAGGAAAGAGCATGCAGTCAGGGGCATGAGGAGATTGATGCTGTCATGCACTCAAATAGTTCCTGGTTACCAGCTATGGCACTAAGCTAGCTACTTAAATGACAGTACCCTCTCTGCAGGCATCATGGTATTGACACAAGTGACAACGACAAAGATTGGTATCGTTGAGAAAAGTTCAGCTTCTTATATGGATTCTAGCAAGTGGAGTACATGATTAGCTGAAATCCATAACAAAGGTACACATGCTCTATACCAAAATTTCTATTCTCGAGATAATAGAAGCACAAGTATAATTAAATCTCAAAAGAGAGAGCTGAAAAGTACAGTATTTGTGGCAGTCTTCTTCTAAGGGTCCGTTTGATTGCAAATGTGGAAAATGGGTGGAAAGAAAATAAATTCTAGGGAATTGAATTGCCTAAAAATTGTTTTACTGGGAATTGTAATTAATTTTGTTTGATTGGTATAATTTTCCACCTGGAAATGTTGAAAGTTTGGTATCCATTTGACTTTCTTTTTCATGGAAATTGTCCAAGTGATAATTTCATTTACCATTGGGTTTAGAATTTGTTTCACTTGCCCAAAAAAAAAAAAAATTATAAAAAAAATTTTTAAAAATTACCATACCGAATACCATTCGTTTGACTTTGTTTTGTATGAAAATCATCAATAAAAATGATAATTTTTTTTAACATTGTATCTAAAAAAATTTCCAATTGCTTAAAAAAAAAAGATGGAAAATGGTGGGAATTGATTTTCCACAAAGCCAAGGAATTGGTGAGCATGTGAGCCAAATGTGGAAAATTTTTTCCAGAGAAAATAAAGTGTATCAAACAAGGCAAAAGTGGATGTTGGAATTTGTTTTCCATTTTCCATGGAAAATAATGCCCTATCAAACATGGCGTAAATGTCACAATCAGAAAAAGGTAGAAAATTTCAGAAAGGATATCATAGCATCTGTTCACGCCTATAAATAATTAGTCCAAACAAAACTTCTCAAAACTAGTGTAGTTCACTAATCCCCACTAATTATGGTGACAATGGATATCTATTCTCTATCTCAGTCATCGCTGCTTATAAGGTATCTTGTTAATTAACATAATCCATGAATGCTCCATTTCAATTGTGGAACTAAAAAAGAAAAAGTAGATGCAAATTGAGACCTTGTTTGTTAACATTTTTTTCTTTTTCTTCGCCAACTAAAATTCCAAATCCAAACATAACTTGAACATCTACCAGAAACAGACCGTTGGAATATTACGTATGTGTTCAAGAATCCCAGAAAAGTGTGCCTAGATAAGAATTACACGTGCTTGGGGGAAATTCAGAAAGAAATCAAGCCCCAGAGAACTTACAAAATGCATATATTTTAATTTTACCTTAAGAGCTTCCTTGACAAGGGGATCTTGGGTGGGATTGAAGATAGAGGCCCTAACACGAAACCCACCAAGCTTTGAGCTTGAATTACACGAATTAGACGAGGGGAAGGAAGAAATCAACTGTTTTCGTGGCACAACAGCTTTCCAACTGGGCTGTGACAAATAAAGATGGTGAAAATTAGCGTATAAACACAGCTAATCTTAAGATGGAAGATGGCAGTGAAACTCACTATTACCGATGCTGCAGAAACATTCAAAAGCAAAGACATGATTTGCTTTGCTGCTTCTCCCTTCTCTTCCAAAGTTCGTTCCTCCGGTTCTTCTGGAAATCAACCCGAAATAGCATTTGAGTCATTATAGTTAACGGAGTTATATACAGATAATGTGTTCAACGAGAGTGTGCACGGAAAGAATGCTTTTTTTTTTTTTTGTTTTCTACTATTTGACTGTGAATATACATTATTTTTTTCATTCTCATTCTTCTACTCATTTTTAATCACTCATTCTTCAATAAAATAATATTTTCCATCACATCAATAATTTTTCATTCATTTTTAACCACACATTCTCCATCAATCTACTATTCAATAATACATTCTTTCAAAAAAAATGTGTCACAAACACACTCAGTTAAAAAAGAATGAAAAATTATTGATTTGATAAAAAATATTATTTTATT